GGGGGGGGAGGAGGAGGAGTCGGTCTCGTATGGTCATGCTCCTTGACCTATGACTAATCTGGTGGCTCGCCTGTGCACTCTTGCAAGTTATTATCCTGCTCCGTCCAGGGTCTCCAGGCCTGGATCGCCTAATAAAACTGCGGCCTTACGAACGTTCCGAAAAATTAAGAGAAGCTGTTTACATCGAAAATTTTAACTACCCGCTTGATGGCGCATATCATTGGCCTTAGCCATGTTATAACAACTACTTGAAGGCTTTGGTGTATTTGTAATCGATAACGCCTATATTCCTCTGCGTTTCGGCTTCTCGGAGTGGTATGCCATTTGGATGGTAGGTGTAAGTATCAGGGACCTAGTTCAGATTTCCGAGACGCAGCATGGTGCACATGTTTCAGTTAAATGGCGTGTGTCACCTGCGGAACCACTCTTTCTATCGACAAAGATTTTCTTGGAAGTTCGGCTCGTAGGCAGTACTGTGGATGACTTTTCAAATTTTTGTGTCATTTACGAAAATGGCACAGTCAAATCCTTGCAAAAAATCATTTGTAAGCATTAGAAAGCGGGGCGATCACAATACTGGACTTTGCGGTCATCCACTCTCTACGATGGTGCGCCTCAGACAGCCTCAGAACAGCCGATGAGGGAATTTTCGATTTATTTAAGAAGTTTGACTTCGACATCCATTAGTCCCAACCTGCACAGGAGACGCTGGTGCGGGCACTGTCGATGGCCTTCCCAAAAGCCATGTCGGCGACATGCATGGTATGATCTTCGTCGAGCGCTGCCGTTCGGATTTGCATAATGTATAGCAAGTTCACTGAATTTTTATTCCCCTACAAAAGCCTATTTTGTCCTGGATAAGAGGTTGTGAGTTTCCAAATACCTCATCAATGCCTTTTTAACTGTCTTCCCCATGACTTTGCAGCAGATTGGTGTCAAATGAACAGGTCTGTAGTTGGTCACAGGTGAGAGACTACAACTTTTCTGAATCGGTGAAGTGTGTGCTATTTTCTAATCCGCGGGAAGAATCCCGGCATCGAACAACTTCTGGCACAAAAGGGATAATTGTTTAGCCAATTCCAATGCAAGTTCAAAGAGCAGTTTTGTTGGGATCTCGTCTGAACAAGGAGCTTTATACTCCCCAGGATTTTTATTTTCTGTAAAAATCGCCTCTTCTCGAAACGCCATGTTTTCAAGAGTTGGTGTTCCCATGCTCTCGTAACTTGATGAAAGCAGGACATGTTGTGTGACAAGTGCTTCAAGTGTTGTTCTTAGGAGACGGTGGTCAAAGGCACACTTTGAGCACTTCGTCGGTGTATTGTTCCATCAAATAGGGAATCAGTTGAAGTCACACTCGAGAACAGCATCTCCTCGACCAGCAATTTCATTCATGTTCTCCAGCAGGCAAGTATCGGCGCCAGGACCCGACCTCGGTGATCGGTCAATAGTCGCGATTCCAAGGGACTGCGATGCGCATGCTTTCATAGTCAACCAAATAGCCCCGAACCGTCATTAATCTTCTTGGTCCTCTTACACATACGATTAAGTTGCTCTATGAGTACATCACAATTCCTCCATCCTGGCAGTCAATCTGTCTCTCCTGTACGATTGATATTCCGATAGTGTTATTTCATAATCGTCGACGCTCTGTAATATCCATGTTTCCGTTGCTGTTATGACACCTGGAGATGTATCGGTTACCTGTGTCCTCAGTTTCTGGAACTTCAAAAAAGACTGGGTTTTTATTTTGGAACATTCGCCTGT